GCAGCGGGGCCTGTGGGGTGGGACCGGGGCTTTTCCTGCGCTCACCCTTCCATCTCCTCCAACTACCCCCCACCGTTGCCTGAAGGGCTCCCGGTGAAAACTAGAGTCTTCCCAAAGGTGTTGCCAGGGGAGGGAGGTGCAGGGCTGGGGGAGGGGGTCCCTGCCAGCAGGGTGGGGAGAACAACCCCAAAGCGGCAGCCAGCCCCCAGCCTCCCGATGAGTTATCCCCCATCCCAGAGAAATGCACACCCTCGTCTTTGTTTGCAGCGGGGTTCGTGTGTTCAGCCTGTTCTCTTCCCTCCCTGAAGGGCCAGCGGAAGCTGCCGTACCGGCGTCTCCGTTTCGCAAGGTGGATATCGTTCTGGCCTGCTCCTACGTGGAGGAAGATGGAAGAGGCTTGCGTGCCTTTGGCAGCCGGTTGTCCAAGCATCCTGCTACCCTCGTGCTGAGGGGTATCAGCGTCAGAGATGATGGGAACTTGGGTGATGTGACTGAGTACAAAGGCCCCCAGGGAAGTCCTGACCTCTCGTCTCCCATTGTCTTCGAAGCCTCAGGTGAGTGGGGTGGGAAAACTGCGTGGGAAGAGCTGTCGCCAAGGTTTTGACCACCTACATGCACCGGGCTTCTACAAGATTTTTCTTAACTGAGTTTAGACAATTAATTTTTGAATGGCCACTAAAGTTTCATGCATGATTTCCCAATTTCAGCAATTGGGACTTCAGGGAAGGAACTTTGTGGAAGATGTTAGCCAACACCGTTGAGGCACCTCCCTCCTGTTGGGGCTATCCTAGATGGTCTCTCTCTCGGGAAATACTTTGTCAAAAACAACTCAGGGATTATTCCTGTATACAGTATTATTGTACCCGTGTTCACATCTTCAGTCACGCGGGTGTTGTTTGCTAGCAGGAAGCATGGTGGTAAGCGGGCACGAAGCAGAGCTGTTCTGCTCAGAAGGCTGTCTGTGTGGGATTTGGCTTTCCAGACCTCCCCCATGGGTTCCATCCTGCAGTCCAGCCTCTGTCGCCCTTGCTTCCTGCATAACTTTGCGAACACAGTCAAGCAAAGGTCTGAGCCTGTACTTTGCTGTGGTCTTGTTCACTGCCTTAGAGTGCTTATCTGTGAGCACACGCTTTAGCACGAGCTCATTCTGAGACATTTTCAGAGGGGAAGTTGAAGGCCCAGCAGGATCTGTTAGCCTGGGTCCAAGCTCTCCTGCAAGTAGTGTGTATGGCCTGGGCACGGGTGAGTTCAAGCACGCTGCAGTCAGGCTACTGCCAGGCATTGCAGACATGGAGTTAATCGCCAGCGATGTCCATGGAAAGCATCTAGGTCACTAGGATGCTTACACCTATGCTTAAGCTGATGCTATGAGCAAAGGCACAGATAGTGTGCCTCTATATCCAGCCACTCCTGCCTTCCTGCAACCCTTTCTTTCCTTACCTGGGATGCTTCGGTGTTCGCGTTGTTTCTGGATTCAGGCCTCAAAAGAATAAACATTGCAGGTCTTTACTGAGCATTTCACATACACGTCTTGCTTCCTTGAGCTAGCTAAAAGGAGTCTGTTCTGTTTATTCTCCTTCCTAACATCTTCCTTTGCCCAGCATGAACTCTGCAATCTAGCAGGATAAAATACAACCAACAGACTGAGGGATGTAAGACAGTCATGGCAAACCTCTTGTATTCTTTGCAGGCCTTCATCTGTTAAGCCTAGCCGGGCATTTCTGGACTCTGACTGACTCCCACAGAGCATGGTGCTTCTCAAAATACGGGCCTCATCATCTGTACTTTCTGTCCCCTTATGGATTCAGGTGGTTAAAACCTTTCCTCTATCCCAACAGACCAGTTGGTATCCATCCCATATGCAGAGTCCCTGCTGCACACGGACTGCGATGGGGAGGAGCTGGACTGTGAGATCTCCCCGTACAGCTCCAAGCAGGCTGGCAAGGGGGCCAGCTGCACCTCCTGGTTCCTGGTCACCCTGCAGCTCTCCAGCGGGATCAGTATCACTCTGATGCTCAGAGGACCCCACTGCGGCGGCCAGGAGGAGGAGAAGGAGCACGATGCAACACTGCACCCAAAGCTGAGGATTCCTATGAGCAAGGAGGGGACGTTGCTGACCACAGGTGACCAGGTGGCCCGGGATGCCCTCACAGCACCAATGGACATGCGGGGAGCCTGCCTTCCCAGAATTCCCATGCCCCACCTCACAACAGGACCTGAGGGCTGCCAGGAGCTGGTGCTTGGGGAAAAAGGGGTCATGCAGGTTGCCCCTCACCCTGCCTCCTCCCAGGGTTCCCCGTGCCCCAGCCTCTGAGGATGACAAGCACCTTCAAGACCATGACACGCACTCGGTATCCACCTGTCTCCCTGCCCGTTTACCCCACCAGGCTGGCTTCTTCCAGCTTTGCGGTCCACATGGCCCGTGGGGCATTGAATAGGGGAGTTCACTGTCAGCCCTTCCCGCCCGAGGGTGCTGTCTTTAACCACATCTGTTTAACTCTCTGCTGCCTGTGTTTCTGTTTCTAGTTGAATTTCAGTCGTCATCACGCAACACTTACCTGCGCACACGTCTTCACGGCTCAGTCACCCTTGACTGCCACATTGCCTTGGCTCCTGGCTCCTCCCTGTCCTCCCTGGAGTGGAGGAGGCAGCACCAAGGCAGTGGCCATAGCCTTTTCCGGTACCAGGTGGGGAGCACGGTTCCAGCAGCACAGCCAAAAGTCCACGTGGATGTGGCAAAGCTGCTGAGGAGTGGAGACGCGTCGCTTAACCTGCAAGGAGTGAGCGTGGGAGATGAAGGGTCATACATCTGCTTGGTGTCCACCCTCCTGCACCAGACCCAGCACATCATCCACCTGCATGTGGCCGGTAAGAACGGGAAATGCCTGGGGGCAACAAGAGTCCCCTGTCCCCTTTGCCCCACACCCGTATCCCATTGTTCCCAACACTCAAGGCAGCTCGTCTGCTCTCCCTTGTGGATGGAGACTTTTGTACTCTGCTAACAATGAGTTGATTTGCTGTGTCTCCTCCAGAGCCTCCAAGAGTTCGTGTCGTTCCATCAGTGGTGTCACTAGAGGGAGATGCGACAACTACCCTGACCTGTAACATTGCTGGTTATTACCCCCTGGACGTCTCGGTGAGCTGGACACTGAAGACTCTTAAAGACCACACGGAAATCGCTCTCACAAACCCAAGTTTCTCCAGCCACCGGCAAAGCCAAGATGGCACCTACAGCATCACCTCCTACCTCAGCATCAGCTCAGACACAGCACGGGCACCAGCCACCTACAGCTGCCACGTTTCACACGTGGCTCTGACCAAGCCCATCTCTGTGAGCGCCCGTCTTAAGGAACAAGGTAGGTGTCAGGGGCAGAGGGTTCTTCATCGTGCCCAGACCTCCTCCCACCTCATCTACCCACTGCAGGGATGAAAACCTCTGAGTCATACCACATCTGCCTGTTTCTCTGTCTGGTGTCTTCTCATACCCATCCTCTCTATTCTCCTCTTCCCTTTCCTCAGCTTTTATTTCACTCCCTGAAGATCTGAGGAGCAAATGTCCCATTTCCTTTAGGGGAAAAGAGATTTTATGACCAAAAGTGGAGCAACGGAGCTAAAGTTTGTAGCACACAGTCTGGGCCACGCTGGACAGGCACAAGCAAACAGCCATGCCCTAAGGAGTTAGGCACCCAGCTGGGATTGATGTTCAGCTGGAGACCGCTGCTGTTTGAGAACTAGAGCAAAAAATCCTTCCCCTCAAGGGAGCTGTTGGGGTTCTCGCTCTCCTTGCTGATGGGAGATGGCTCCTGTGTCTCCTCCTGACTCAGGAGGGAAAAGCAAGCAGTACTGCAGTTCAACAAGTTACAACACATCAGTCCAGCCAGTATAACTGGCCCTGGGTCCCCGTGGCTTTAGCTCACACGTGTCGTGTCACACCTGCGTACCTGACCGGAGCAGGCACATGGTCAGTTGTTGGGGGGGCGCGTTTAACTGTGACAACTTGCTGCTGCTCAGCCACTCCAGTCAACCTAACGTCACTCATCCTCCTCTTCCTCTGCAGAGCAAACGGGAGCCGGAGGACTGGTGGGAGGTTTCATTGCTACCATCATTTTCATCCTTGTCCTCTTCATCGTGCTCAGGAGAAGAGCAGGTAGGAGTTTAACTTGCTGAGCCGCTTCCCTCGTGGGCAGCAGAGAGCATCTTCCCCTCCCCCTGCACCCCTCTTCAGGAGAGGTGGAAGTCAGGATATCCCAGGATGGTGGAGGGAGAGGCTGGGGGAGGATGACCTGGAGACTCATTTCTGGGGGAAGGCAGCACAAAGTGATGTTTTGCACCGCTTTGGTCTCCCTGCATCTTACTTATTTTTTTTTCCCCTCTCCTTTGCAGCTAAACCAAAGTCTGAGCAACTCCTAAGGGCTTCAGAATAGAGAAAACCCTTGTGCCACCCACCTGCAGGCCTTTGATTCCCATCCCTGATATATCCCGCTCAGGAGAGCCAGCCCTGTCCAAATATTAACAGAGCTGTTGGTTGGTATGGGGGGGGGATAGGGCAGCCCTTGAAGGAACCGGGGGATCGTCGAGCGGTGGACGCACGGGAAAACACGCCTGCATCTTGGGAGGGCAGCACTGACAGCCTCAGCTCTTTGCTGGGTTACAGGCAACAGGCAGATATTTTTAGAAATGCCTCTTTTCCGGTTTCAGAGAAAATTAAATTGTATATAGATGAGTGTTTGTATGACTGTATACGTGTGTGTGTGTATACAGGTACATGTATGTATGTGCACACGTTGTACTCAGCAGCTGTGGATCTGTAGATGTATATAGGTACAATTGTTTGGTACCTCTGAGGGAGCTGTTTAAGATACTTAGGTATGTATGTGTTTTAACTGTGAAGCTGGGCAAATAAGTGAGCAAAATTGGTACTTGAAAACGGTAAATCCTCAATCAGAGGAAGTTGTGGGTTAAACTGTCGGCAAATCGAGCAATCAGAAAAATACGACTCTCCAGGAGAAAGCTACAACAAAAAATTTAACAGCAATTTCACTGCTAGAAGTTCACAAGGTGGAGAAGAGCTGTGGTTGGGAAAAAGACACAATTCAAGGCTTTTCCTGCCTAACAGGGAATTTGAGGGTGACACTTAGAAATCTTGTGCATAACCAACAGGGGAGAAAGAAAGCAGAAGGAAGGTGTGGATGGAGAGGAGGTATATGGCACACTATAAAAGCGAGAATTTATGAAGCATACAAGGTGATAAGGAGTGTTCAAAATAATCTGGAAAAACTGGATTGCTGCAAGTGCTAACGGCACCTGGAAGGAGTTTTTTTCAAAATACGTTGAAAACCAAGAAAGGCTAGCAACAGCCCAGGCTCTTTCTGGGTGGATATAGGTAAAACTGTTGAGAGAGAACATTTTTGATGGAGATTTTGATACAGAGGAGATAGCTACTTGTAGTCAAAAGGAGAGAGAGTTGTGTCTGCCTGCTACGTGAGGGTGGTAAACAACTATTTGCCAACTAAGAAAGGTTTTAACAGCAACTGTTAAGCGTGTTTTCAGATCAGTAGCCAAAAAAATTTGCATCTCCAAACCATCGAAGATTTGGCTGAGGAGACGCCTGGCCTAATGGAGTCAGGGATTTAAAAATCCTGGCATGCTAGGGAAATCCGAAGGTCTTGGGACAGAATCTTGTGCCAGTGTTCATAGAGAGAAAGGAAGACACCGATGATTGTTAGGTGGCTCTGTGATAGTAATCACAGGTACGGGAGAGTGAAGTTGTTACGAATTACTAAGAAAGGCTTCAACAATTAAAATGAATAATTTAGTATGTTTTAAATTTCAAAAATTGCGAGAAACAATCCTGACTTCATTCTTTGATGAAATAATATAGAATCATAGAATGGTTTGGGTTGGCGGGGACCTTAAAGCCCATCCAGTTCCAACCCCCCTGCCATGGGCAGGGACACCTTCCACTAGACCAGGTTGCTCCAAGCCTCATCCAGCCTGGCCTTGGACACTTCCAGGGATGGGGCATCCACAGCTTCTCTGGGCAACCTGTCCCAGTGCCTCACCACCCTCTCCGGGAAGAATTTCTTCCTGATATCCAATCTAAACCTCCCCACTTTCAATTTAAAGCCGTTACCCCTTGTCCTGTCACTACAGGCCCTTGTAAAAAGTCCCCCCCAGCTTCCTTGTAGTCCCTTCAGGTACTGGAAGGCTGCAGTAAGGTCTCCCCAGAGAGAGAGATATTTTTGGTTGATAAAAGCACTGTTTCAGGTTTAAAAAAACCCGAGAAATTTGTAAATTCCGAAGAGAAAAAAACCCAACAGTGTAAGTATACATCATCATTTGCATCCTATGGATGAATTACTAACAGAGAAATGGCAAAAACGCATTGTCCAAAAAGCAGCAATCACTGCTGAAAGCGCGTGCCTCTTTGCAAGAGCTGTGCTGCCGGTTTATTTCCATCAGGAGATACCCCTGTAAAAAATCTGGGTGATAGAAGTTGAGCACGCTCGGTAGCCACAGCGGAGGGAGCCCTTCAGACCGACCCAGCTCACCCGGCCAGCTGAACACACTCGACCCAGAGAAGGCACGCGGTACTGCCAGCGGAGTCTCCTCATACCAAAACGACGGGACCAGTTCGGAAGGCGAGAAAACGCCTCACAGGGGGTACTTGGGAACCATCACCCTGCTCTTACTAACCCAGGATCTCAATTACACCACAGAAAATAACAGAGGGCTGAGGGCACCGTAGCCTCCAAAGAAAGGCGCAGTGAGAATCAGCAGCTGCAAGGTGTCTTCAGGCACGTTTGGAGTGGAATAAAATGTCATATATTCAACGATGAGGATGATTATCCTAGCCATCAGCCAATAAACATGGTAGACTATCTCAAGGTCTTCAAATAAAGGTCACATAACTTTTTTCAAGCTTACCTTTAATAATAATTTTTAAAAATAATAATTAATGGCATGGATTGAAAGAGACACTGGGTAAAATTCCAAGGCCTGTGTTACACATAAGTGAGAGCTGGTGGTTTGACTGCTTTTTTTGGCCCATAAACTGACGTAAGGGAAAGAAAAAAATATAGGAGAGATGTAAGAAAGGGGTTAGGAGTGGCTGTATTCCTCATAGGGAGAAATACACCCTGGCACTTGATTTTATTCAACTACCCGCTCTCTGATGCTCCCCGCTGGCATTGCTGTGGGGTGTCCACAATTACTGTGTCTCTGAAGGTATCAGGCAGAACTTAAATGACAAAAACAACTAAGGCATATAAGCTAAAGTAGAAAAAGTAATGCTTACTGATAAAAAAAAAGTGATGTATTGTTTAACAGCAATGTTCCTTATATTTTAAATATAAACCCCTTATTACAGAAAACACCACTAAGGGACTGGAAGTTCATCAAAGATAAACTTGATTGCATTATAAAGACATGTATGAATATTGTTACCCTCTCTGCGTCTCTGGGAGAGAACCACACTGCCTTTCAAGGTCGAATGTGCCATGGCCAAGTGCCACATGGCATCAGTGCCTGGCCACGTGAATGGAGAAGCAGGAATCTGGTTATCATCTGATTAGCTGCCAGTCAGTCCAAGCCATTACAACTGCATCTCTACAAATAAATATCAAACGTAGGTGTTTTAAACAAGTTCTTTACGATAATTATTTGATACGAGACATGAAATTTGGTACGGATTTTGTCAAGCTGCCAGACAGAAGATGAAGTTATTTGCACTTGAGTCAACGCAGGATTGCTTGTGGGCTGTGGCTGCATTGTATCGTGGATACGGACAACTCAAAACCTCTCATGCGGTACTTAGAAGAGCAGTCATTGCAAACAACAAAGCCCAGCTAAAGATTCTCTTTTCCACATAGAATCATAGAATCACAGAATGGTTTGGGTTGGGAGGGCCCTTAAAGATCATCTAGTCCCACCCCCCCTGCCATGGGCAGGGACCCCTTCCACTAGACCAGGTTGCTCCAAGCCTCATCCAGCCTGGCCTTGAACACTTCCAGGGATGGGGCATCCACAGCTTCTCTGGGCAACCTGTTCCACTGCCTCCCTACCCTCTCCAGGAAGAATTTCTTCCTGATATCCAATCTAACCCTCCCCCCTTTCAATTTGTACCCATTACCCCTTGTCCTGTCACTACAGGCCCTTGGAAAAAGTACTCTCCCAGCACCCTTGTAGCCCCTTCAGATACTGGAAAGCTGCAATGAGGTCTCCTCGGAGCCTCCTCTTCTCCAGGCTGAACAAGCCCAGTTCTCGCAGCCTTTCGTCATAGGAGAGGTGCTCCAGCCCTCAGAGCATCTTCGTGGCCTCCTCTGGACTCGCTCCAAGTGGTCAATATCCTTCTGATATTGGGGGTTCCACAGCTGGACGCAGTAATCCAGGCTCCCCTCATTTGATTATGCCTCTGCACATTCCGTGTAAGCTGGCAAAATAGGCCCGGCAGTCTAACTACACCGGTTTCGATGCAGCTTTGAACACAGCTAGTACATGCCTCGAAGAGAACGTGCTTTAGCTGGAAGAGACAGTGAAGAGCCTAATGCCCTTCAAAGCTCAAACCCCTCTCCCGTAGTCCACCAGGCAACAATGGGCAGTAACTCAAGCCCAGCATGCCACAGGAAACCCATTCCCATGCTGATCACAGGAAGGATACCAAACTTTCCCACATCTCCCCCATCTTGGTCAATGAACTGCAACCCACTTGAGAGGGGCGGGCCAAGGCGAAGCATCAGGGGCAGCACTCATGCTCTCCCACGCATTCCTTCCAGACCAGAGGCTCGAAGCAGTAAGCTCCGTTGCAAGAGCTTGGCGTCGCCAAGTGATGGGCACAGCGAGCAGCGGGGGGTTCACACGGGTACGCAGTAAGGTAAGACCCACAAGGCTGCAGCTTCTTGAAAGCCCACCGACATGGGGTTGTCCTTCTCAGTAGCTGGATGCCTCTTTTCCTAGAGAAGGTCACCTCCCAGCTATACCGTGGCTGCTTCTCCCTAGCACTGCCTGCAGGAACACTGCCCCTGAGTTTCTCTCTGCTGTGAAGGGTATGAAATGCTGCTCAAAGACACGTCTTCACCAGCACTGTGCACGTGCCTTTCTTAGTGACAGCAGTCTTCAGCACTGATCACTCTCTGGCCTGTCCGTCGTCTGGACTTCACTGACGGGAGCAATGACAACCTACAATAGGCAATGAATCTCCGGTAATATTACACGCTCTCCCCTCTCAAAAAAAAAAAAAAAAAAAATTAAAAAGAAAAAAAGGAAAAAGAAAAAAAAGGGAAAAGGATTGGGCTTGTCTTTTCCCACAGACTCAGCTCTGTTACAGCCACTCCCTAACTCGTGTCTCAGACAAAAGCATGGGACACATGCTTCCCTGCACAGCGTATGTGTCATGCTAAAACAGTCCAGCTCCTACCCTCTGCAA